GTTTGTCTTCAAGTTAAGACCAGCACTGCAGACGCAGACAAGCACTTGCCATTTACCTAACGGCCTCTTCTGAGAGTGGTGGAGCCACGAGGGGAGCGCCCCACCACAGTCCTCCCCTGCGGAGGGAAAGGGTCCAAGTGTGTGTGCTCTGCCGGAGATTGCCGGCAATGAAGGCGTGTTGAACAAGTGTCTCCTGAGATGAAGGGTCACCCCGTCTCCCAGCCCCGCAGGTTTCCGGGCTTCCCAGCCCCCCAGGCGTCGTCTCCCCTCCTCACCATGCTGCCCCCAGCCCTGCTTCTGGGCGCACACAGCTGTGGGTCCCTGCGTCCTGACGCCCTCCAGACTGCCCCTGGGGAGTAGGGGGTTGACAGTCCCTCCTCCATCTTACTCTCCCCACTGGCTCCCACCTGCTCCCCTTCCTCCTCGACACCCCACAGTCATCCCGAAACCAGACTGCAGAGTGGGGGCCCCAGGCCCCTCCCTGACCCCTCCCCGTCCCTTTCTCAGGGTCCCGGGGCTGACCCTGCTGTGCGAGGGGGCAGGTCACAGGTTCCTGGGATTACTTCGTGGGCACCACAGGGCCAGCTCGCCCACCACAAACAGACTCGGCGCCCCACCTGAGAGGTGTGTGCCCGTTTCTGCGCCTGGCACCACAGTGCAGTGGGCCGCCCTCGGGCCCCACCCAGGCCCCCTCCCTGGGGCGCGCTCTCCCGTTGAACAGCAGCGGCTCCCTGGACAGCGCCTCCCTCCTCCCCCAGCACAGCCTCGCCCCTCTCAGGACAGCCCCGGCCCAGCCCTCCTACAGACCCGGCTCTGTGTTCTTAGAGACCGCAGGCTCTCCACACATTTCTCAGTTATATATTTTTATTTCCATGATAACTACTCTGAGTCATCTTGCTGGCAGCTCCTAGCCACAGGATTTCTGTGTGCATTGCATTTTGGAACCAAGACAGGCAAGCCTGACGCAGGGTTGCACGTGCTTAGCGAAAGTGACCAGTCACCCACTATCTGCTGAAAGGCAAACCTCTTTTACGAGAACTTGCAATTGAAAACCATTTGCATCACACAAGCCCTCAGCTCCCTAAGTCAGTGACAGTTAAAGACTGTGGCAGGAGTCCCACGTGGGTGCCAACCACGTTGGTTGTCACGGGGGGAACAGAGGCCAGGTCAGTGTGTGAGCGGGGTGCCCATCAAGTGAAGGCCAACACGGAAAAGCGTGGGCTCTTTGGTCTCCCAGGTGGGGCCATGCTCCCCATCCCACACCTGCCTGGTGACAGTCTAGACACAGATGATTTTGTTTCAGCACATGTTGTTCCATGGGACAGAAGTTCTGTCTGGGGAGATGACAGAGTTCTCGACAGGTGGGGTGATGTGGACGACACTGGGTGAAAAGGGTGAATATTCTATTGTGTGTGACTGTACTACAGTTCTAAAAATCCTATTTCACATTAACCATTTAGTTACATTATTAATCTAAATTGGTTTTCAAGCTTCTCTCTAATTTGAATTTTGTAGGCCTTTTATAAGTTACGAGGGCTAGAAGCGTAAGTTTGTATCTGGCTTATGTGTTCATCAAAGCAACATTATTATAAATAAAAACATGCCCACCTCTGGAAAAAAAAAAAAATGTAATCGCATTTTCTTTTTGTGGGCTTCCCTGGTGACTCCGCTGGTAAAGAGTCTGCCTGCAGTGTGGGAGACCTAGGTTCAATTCCTAGGTTGGGAAGATCCCCTGGAGTAGGAAGTGGCAAACCCACTCCAGAATTCTTGCCTGGAGAATTACATGGACAGAGAAGCCTTGTGGGCTACAGTCTGTGGGGTCACATAGAGTTGGACACGACTGAGTAACTTAGACTTTCACTTTTATTTCCATCTGTAATAAAAAGGTATTTAAATATTGTACAATTAATGACTTCAGTTAGTAATTGAAACACTTATGAAAACTTGAATTTAAGTTTACTATCTTTTCATTATTTAGCTTTTGTTTTGTTTTGTTTCAACGTAATTTTTTTATGATTGTACCACACTCACCAGAACTTCATTTGATGTCTCAGATATCTTTAATCCATTATTTGGTATGTGATGAATGTTTGATATAGTTTGTATGTTGATAATGGCTAGTGATATTACCCAACTTTGCAGTGCTTATTGGTTACTTAGATATTACTTTTGTGAAGTGTTTGTACACATGCTCTAATTTTCTGTTGGTTATCTGCTTTTAATAATGGATTTGGGACTTCTCTGGTGGTTCAGTGGCTAAGACTCTGCGCTCCCAGTGCAGAGGGCCTGGGTTTGATCCCTGATCAGGGAACTAGATCCCATATGCCACAACTAAAAGATCCTGCGTGTTGAAAATCAAAGATCCCATGTGCCAAAACTAAAACTCAATGCAGCCAAATAAATAAATATTCTTTAAAAATAGGCTTGAAAATGTGTCATATTAATAATCTACAAAACGGAATTGATTATAGCAAAGTTGTATTTTTTTAACTCCTATGTGTTGAATTAAAATTATAAATGGAACATTTTTTAGTTAAGAGAATATATACATATATACATGCACACCCACATACAAATACTTTAACTGTATCATATGTTGACTTTCTTCTGCTAACATTGACATTTTATCAAGGTCTCTGTAACATTTATCTTAAGCTAACAAATGAGTTCTGTGACTCTTGTTTACTTATAAAAATGTTAAAATTAAACATAAATGTGAAAGGACTTCCCTGTCGTCTCATATTTTGTCTGATAAAAATGACACAAAGAAATATTATACTTTAGAAGAATTAGTATATATTTAATAATTCTAAAAGTATAATTTAGCACAACCTTTCAGACTATTTCAGGTTATCATACATTCAGATAAATTTAATTTCTGTATTTAAACAAAAAGCTTTTTTTGTAAATGATCATGGAACATTTTTTACTGTATTTTAGTTTCCTCTGTAATTTAAGTTTATGTCAGTTTTTCTTCAGATTTAAATAAGAATATACATAAAAATTAAAGTACAAAAATTAATTTTCCCCATCTTTAAGTTGAAATATAAGCTCTATTTGTAAATACCTACATTATACAATATAACTTCTTTGTAGTAATAGCCAAAACAAAACACATATTAGCTCCAGAAACATTAAACCCAGTATGATGAACACAGTGTATAAGAAAATAAATGAAACTAATATTTATACCATATTTCATAATGGATATGAAATATCTTTCAGATATCTTTGGAACTGTTGATACTTTGTGAGTAATGCTTTTCAACTCCCTATATGTAGTTCAAAACCTCTAAAAATGCAGTTTTATTCCATTATCTTTAAATCTTATAAATTGTACAGTTCAGTGAAACTGCAAAATTTATTTCATCATACAGAAAGCATAATAGTTAATCTATAGTTAATCTGGTCTGATTTAATAACATGTATGTGTGGATGAGGGAGAAAATAACTCTATTGTTGAAAGTTCAAAAAGTGTATGATACATTATTTTTATAGTTCTTTTAAGTAATATTCAGTGTCTATTAGATAAAATTGTGTGTACTTTATCATACACACAATGTGCACCTTTCCTCTTTATTCTTTTATAATTTCAGTGACACAGCCCTTGGAGAATATCAACTATCTGTAGTGACCCTCTGACTTATAGTTCAAGATGAAATCCTTTACAGTAAAGAGTTGATATTGATAATAATTATATCCAGACAATCATATCCAATCAAATCCAGCCTCTGCCTGGAATTTTCTTTGACATACATAGCTCAACTTCTTCCCCATTCTTAGTGAAAACAAACAAGTCCCACAAAAATTTCCATCTGACTCACTACAATAAGCCCACTAGTTTTGTTTTTTTCCTCATCATTTTTATCCCAGTTACATCAATATGGGCCATGATGCTGGTGCATTAGTTCTTAATTACAAACTCACAGGTTCTGAAAGACTCATGACTGCTTATTCTAAGCAGACTACCAAGGTTCTATGGTGATATTTGTGTACCAGATTATCATATGTAAAGCTTCTAGACATCCACTTCCCTCATTCTAACTTAAAGAGCCAGATCAGTTATTATTCCCCCTTTCTGGGTCCTTGTAGTCAATCAGTTTAGTTGCTGAGTCGTGTCTGATTCATGGGATCTGCGACCCCATGGACTGCAGCATGCCAGGCCTCCTTGTCCATCACCAACTCCCGGAGCTTACTCAAACTCATGTGCATCGAGTTGGTGATGCCCTCCAACCATCTCATCCTCTGTTGCCCTCTTCTCCTTCCACCTTCAATCTTTCCCAGCATCAGGGTCTTTTTCAATGAGTCAGTTCTTTGCATCAGGTGGCCAGAGTATTGGAGTTTCAGCTTGAACATCAGTCTTTCCAGTGAATAGTCAGGACTGATTTCCTTTAGGATGGACTGGTTGGATCTCCTTGCAGTCCAAGAGTCTCTCAAGAGTCTTCTTCAACAATACAGTCCAAAAGCATCAATTTTTCCGTGCTCAACTTTCTTTGTAGTCCAATTCTCATATCTGCATATAACTACTGGAAAAACCATAGCCTTGACCAGATGGACCTTTGTTGGCAAAGTAATGTCTCTGCTTTTTAATATGCTGTCTAGGTTAGTCATCGCTTTTCTTCCAAGGAGCAAGCATCTTTTAATTTCATGGCTGTAGTCTCACCTTCTGTAGTGATTTTGGAGCCCAAGAAAATTAAGTCTGTCACTGTTTTCACTGTTTCCCTATCTATTTGCCATGAAGTGATGGGACTGGATGCCATGATCTCAGTTTTCTGGATGTTGAATTTTAAGCCAGCTCAGTTATTATTCTGAATAACATTTCTGAATGTTGAGTTTTAAGCCAGATCAATTATTATTCCCCCTTTTTTGGCCCTTATAGCATCTTGCCTAATATAACATCTTTTATTATCCCTCTTTATGCTTAAGACTATGTGGGTGGAAAATGGGACTCACATTCACATCTGATTATCTTTATCTCTCTTTGCTTTTTTCCTTCTCAGCCCTCAGATATCAACACATCTGAAAAGGACTCAATCTCACTCCAACACAATCAGACATAATGAAAATATGGATGATGCCTACCCCTATACTCACAGGGCAGAACTGACTGAATGAGTAAAATATAACTAAAGTCACCCAAGAAAATGAACCATGAGCTAATGGTATTTTAATTTATTTTCTCTGATAAATATATTACAGAGATTAAGAAACTACCAATATTTGAAGATCACCAATTTAATAATTACATCCTGGAGAAACATGTCTTTGGATATATTTAACCGTATTATATTAGTTAGTATTCATTTACAGTGGAGTAATTACAAATGTAATATTATACATGCTAAAACATTGTCTGAAAAGGTAAGTTTGCAAATTTTAACATAAAATTAAATATCCAAGCGTGATTATTTTACCAAGAAAACTTATAAAGCAGTCTTGAAAGAAATTTGTATATTTCATATGATGAATGTTATTTATTCATATATTTATTATTTAGACTAGGAAACTTTAATGAACATATATATATATATATATATATTTACAATTGACCCTTGAACAATTCAGGTTTGACCTGCACAGAACCACTTATAGGTGGATTTTTTTTTTATTAAATATATGCTCCAGTACTATATGATCCATGTTAATTTGAATTTGCAGATGATGAACCACAGATACAGAGGGCCAGCTGTAAAGTTATACCCACATTTTTGACTGCTGGTAGGGTCAGATCCCCTATACATGAAGTTACTCAGAGATCAATTAGACTTCTGTATATCTGTGACTATTTCAACATGCACACATAAGCACACACAGGTATATTCATATTTTCTGTATGCACACCCATGTGTACACACACACACACACACATGTACATATAGCTTGCTTTTGCAATTTCTTTCTTTTAAATGGGCTGAATCAAAAAGCTATTAAGGCACCACAGCATATTTTCCAAACTGATGCATATCACAGGGAACAAAGAAATTTGATTATTCACAAACTGAAGTCTGTAGAGTTTCACATGTTTAAGTGCTTGATAAAGTTAGAGTATTTGCTCCTTTTAATTTAAATATTTCTTATTTAAAATATTGTATTATTTTCAGAAATACAGCAAAGTGGTTCAGTTTAGCTTATATATATTCAGATTATTTTCTATTATAGGTTAGTATAAGTTACTGAATATAGTTCCCCCTGTATACAGTAAATCCTTAGTGCTTATTTATTTTATGTATAGTAGTTTGTATCTGTTAACCTCATTTTCCTAATTTGTCCCTTTCACTTCCTTCCCCCTTTGGTAGCCATAGGTTCATTTTCTATATCTGTGAATCTGTTTCTGTTTTGTTTGTAGATCCATTTTTTAAATTATTTTTTTTAAGATTCTCCATATGAAATAATATACGGTATTTGTCTTTCTCTGACTTACTACACTTGATATGATATTCTCTAGTTCTATCCATGTTATTCTAAATGGCAATATCTCATTCTTTCTTATGGCTGAGTATTACTTCACCACATTCTCTTAGACCAGTCATCTATTGATGGGTCCTTGGAGTGTTTCTGTGTCTTGGCTGTTATAAATATTGCTGCTATGACATAGAGAACAGACTTGTGGTTAACAAGGGGAAGGGATTGGGGGAGGATGGATTAGAATTTTAGGATTAGCAGATGCAAACTTTTATACATAGAATGGGTAAACAACAAGGCCCTACTGTACAGGAACTATATTCAATTTCTAAAATAGACTGTAATGAAAAAGAATATGAAACATTATATATATATGTGTGCATATATATATGTGTGTGTATGTGTGTCTACATAACTGAATTTGCTGTATGAAAGAGATCAATACAACATTATAAATCAACTATACTTGAGTAAAATAAATTAAAAATAGTACTCCTATGAACTCTGCAATGCATGGATCTTTTCAAATTAAGAGTTTTCATCTTTTCTGAATGTATATCCAGGTGTGGGATTGCTGGATCACATGGTAACTCTATTTTTAGTTTTTTAAGGAAATTCCATACTGAAAGGAAGACATTCTAGTTTTATTGAGGTGTATTTGGCACGTGCCACTGTATAAGTTAAAGGTATACAATATACTATTTTTAATACATACATTATGAAATGATTAACACAGTAAGTTTAGTGAATTATCTGTCATCTCACAGAGATACAAAATTAAAGAAACAGAAAAGGGTTTGCCTTTGTTGAGAGCTCCTAGGATTTACTCCTTTAATGATGTTTGTTTATCACATACATCAGTGTTATTATATTTATTATGTTGTACATTACATCACTAGTTCTTATTTATTCTATAACTGGTAGTTTGTACTTTTTGACTGCCTTCATTGAATCCCCCCTCAATCCAGTTCTTGATTCTGGACACCACACATCTGCTTAATTTTTCTATGAATTTACTTTGTCTGTATTTGAAGTAAAACTAACCTATCAGCACACAAAGATATTGCATAGTCATTAACTATATTTCCCCACCCTGATGCTGGGAGGGATTGGGGGCAGGAGGAGAAGGGGATGACAGAGGATGAGATGGCTGGATGGCATCACTGACTCCATGGACATGAGTTTGAGTGGACTCCAGGAGTTGGTGATGGACAGGGAGGCTTGGCGTGCTATGATTCATGGGGTCACAAAGAGTTGAACACGACTGAGCGACTGAACTGAACTGAACTAATAGTGTGAGAAAGTAGCTCATTTTACTATTTCACATATATCTGTCCAGTTTTCCAAAACTATTTATTTGAAAGGCAGTCTTTTCCCCATTTTATATTCTTTCATCTTTTCTATCATAGATTAATTACCCATACAAGTGTGAATTCATTTTTGGGCTCTTTCTTCTGTTCCATTGATAAATGAATCTGGTTTTGTGCCAGTTCCATACTGTTTTGATTCCTGTATCCTTGTAAGATAGTTTGAAATCAGGTAGTATGATACCTTCAGTTTTGTTCTTCTGTGACAGGATAGTTTTGCTTATCCTGACACAAGTTCTCTTGTGTTTCCATGTAAAATTTAGAACATTTTGTTGAAGTTTTATGAAAAATGCTTTTGGTATTTTGATAGGGACTGCAGTGAATCTGTAAACTAGCTTGGGTAGTGTGGATATTTTAACACTATCAGTTCTTAAGCATAGTGTACCTTTCTATCTGTTTGTGTGATTTTCATTTTTTTTATATGTATCATATTTTCCTGAGTATATATCTTTTACCTCCTTAGATTTATTCTTAGGTATTTTATTATTTTTGAGTGTGATTATAAGTGGGATTGTTAGTTTCTCTTTCTGGTAGTACTGGCAGAAGTACTTGTCACTTGTTAAGAACAAAATTTATATTTTTCAGTAACATTTCAGAATATCCACATTTAAAATTGAAAAGTAAAATCATTTTATACTTTTCTATAGCTATAATTAAGATACTATTCTTTCTTACAACTTTCTTCTAGGAAACCTTCAGTCATTCTTTTTTATCTAAATATATATGTTGCAGAGAAATTAATTCTGAATTTTATTTTGTTTAATAAATTTCTTATACAAAATTGTATTGGTGATAAAATTGCTTACAGTTAGTAAAATTTAGTCATCACCTGTGATCAGTGACAATATCTTTTTAAATATGACCTATTTATTTCAGTCATTTAATCAAAGACATTAACATTTTATCTATAAATAAGTATCCAAATTTAATTTGTCCTGTTAGGTTATTGATAAAATAGAACTATCTAGAATAGAAGTATTGAATATTTTTAAACTGAATATGTAATTAAGAAAGAAAAATGTATATTTATGTGTGTGTTTTTATAGTAACCTGTGAAACTAAACCTATAATTAAATAGTTCTCATAAATACAGACCTTGAGATTGTCTCGTTTGCATTTTTTTAAAGTTAGGCTTTATGTGTTTTGAAGTGAGGAAACATTTTCATATCAAATAAGCTCCTACATTGGAAAGTCGAATTATAATTTGTATCCACTGTGCTATTTTGAAGCCACAGAGGAGGAACTCTTAGAGATAAATATTTCTATGATTCTGTAGACAATTTTTTAAAATACTGCATTTGGCTGCTCTCAAATATTTGAGGAATTTTGTGAGAAAATGAATGTCTAGTCTGCTTGTTCACATAGAGTATAAAAGGAAGAATTAAACTAGCATGTGGGGATAAAAGGAGAAACATTTTTCTTGCAAGTGGTGAGGAATTTTCAGTGATTAGAAGTAGGCAAAGACTTTATGCCCGTTATTCCTGAGAGTCTAATTATCTTTGCTTTGTGTCAAGAGTTTGCACCAAAGAGCTTTGAGAAACCCCCTGCTCATATGATTCTGTTAATAATATCAGAAATACTGAGGTTAAGGATGTCTTGGGTTGAGATGGGACTAGCATAAATAGGGAACTCTAGGTACACAGGCAGTGAGTGCCCTTTGAACATCTTGGAGTTTAATTCTGGCACTTTGATGATGACAATAATTTTACCAAATTTAACATTCAATCCAGACAGTGACACATTTCCTCACATGTGCTTTGACGGCTAATGGATAAATCTGTAATGGTACCAAAGTGGAAAAGCACAAAATAGTTAAGGATAGAAATACTAATTGGGGTGTTTTAAAATGAGATTATTATTATTATTGAAATCTATAGGATTCTTTAGCCCCTGGCTACACAAGGAAGAGTGAAATGAAATGAGAGGTGTCAATTATGTGTTAGTAAATGACCTTCTCTGATAACTCCATTTCAAATTTGACTTGTGAAGTGTTCTAAAAGTCACAGTAAAGAAGTCTGTGAGGACAGAAAGGATACTTTTGTTTGGAGATTCTGAGGAAATAGGTCCTCTTTTAGCTGAAGTGATCATGTCAAAATAAATATTTCATTTTAGGCAAGGAAGCAGACAGAGTCGTGACTGCAGAAGAGGCACTCAGCCAGTCAGATCATTTGAAGCGGTGTAATAGATGTCACAGCCAACTTGTCCTCAGATCACATATGTCAAAGGGTATCTCCATAATTTTAGCTGCTGGACTCACTATACTACCTCTGGCAAATTAAATCAAATGCTCTCACTCTTGGTGTATTCATTTTGAACCAATATGAAAACTGGCGGAGATAACAGAGATAGATTCCACAGAGTCCCATTATAGATGTACCATTAAATGAAAATAATTAAATACTTTCAGTGTCATGCTTTTTATTCTCTCACTTGACTCTCTGCTGATATATTGGGAACTGAGTGCTAGGGTAATTGCGATCATATTTCAAATGAAATAGTTTATTTGGAGCCATGAACTAATTCGATTAAAAACTTTATTTTAAATATGTTTTCTTTGCATGGGGCATGTGTGTCACCTTGCACTGAGATTTTGTAAGGGAGAGGTAATAAATATCTGGAGCATCTTGGACCTGTATGCTCGGTTTATTTCTTCCAGCCTAAAAGTCTGAAGTGTTTATCTTATAATGTGAGTTGTAACAATGCCAGTATAGTTTGAATTTCATACAATACCAATATTTAAAAGAAATCAATGCTTTTTAAAATATTACAGCAATTGGGAAAGTTAAAAAATGGCTACTATTAGGAAACAGGTGAGCATATGACTAAATGTTCATAATGTGTACATATATGCACACTATGTATGCATGTTATTTATTTACATAGTATTTATTTGTTTTAATTGAGAAATCCAACCAGTCTATCCTAAAGGAAATCAGTCCTGAATATTCATTGGAAGCACTGACGCTGAAGCTGAAACTCCAATACTCTGGCCACCTGATGCAAAGAACTGACTCACTAGAAAAGACTCTGATTCTGGGAAAGATTGAAGGCAGGAGGAGAAGGGGACAACAGAGGATGAGGTGATTGGATGGCATCACCAACTCAATGGACATGAGTTTGAGTAAGCTCTGAGAGCTGGTGATGGACAGGAAAGCCTGGCTTGCTTCAGTCCATGGGGTCGCAAAGCATCAGACATGACTGAGCTACTGAACTGAACTAAACTGGTCAAATTTAAGTGTTCAGTAAATGCTATTGACACCAATGATTATTACCGTTACCGTTAGTTCATTGAAGTTTCAAATAAGCAATGGAATTTAATTTATGTTCTTCTAGTGAACAGGCATATAAGAAAATTGAGGAAGAAAAATTTAAACAGACTTAAGGAAAGCATGTAATTATTCATAATGCTTAGACCAAAGCATATTTGTTTTTCTGATTCTGATCTCTATGATTTTTTTTTTTTTTTGCTGTGTTGCACTAAATAAATTCTAAGTGCACTAGCTATAGGTTATCTCACCAAGCATGATAGGTTTCCTCTAGCTGCATTTAACATATTGTGTAACCTTAAATTTCCCTTAATCATGGACTGCAAGGTCAAATATGTCTATATACCAGATTCTCATCTGTGATAGACACAGCTCTTTGTTTGTCCCATGTCCATGATCTCTTTCTTTACAAAGAGAGCAGTGTTGTTGTTCAGCATGATATTCAGCCCAGCTTAGAAATGCCTAACGTTTATCCCAGGACTGTTTTCTTCTGGTGGTAAGAGTATAACATCAGAAAGAGAAGAACAAGGAGGAACAAAAGAAGGAAAGGTACAATGAGGAGGACAGGAGCAACACCCTCTCATTCCCCAGATGGACATCTTCTTAGGTAACAATTTATCTGTGCTTGCATTAACATCATAAACACTCTTCACCACCACCACCACCTACAGAAATATAGGGAGAAATGGCAGGACTTAAACAGGTAATAAGCAGCTCATAGCCCCATGTTTTGCATGTCTAAGAAAACACCAGCTGTATTTGTTGAACTTGAGTTACCCTACCCAGATTCACTCAAAGGAACTGCCTGCTGTTTGAAGGGATCAAAAGAACAAGTGTGTTTGGGTCAGAGCCTCAGATCAAGGAGATGAGTAAGGGGGTAAAAGGACAAGCAGAAAATGCAGGAAATGAGAGAGTGTAACTCCAGTGAACTGTCTAAAAGTTTCCCTGTACAGAAACCAGTACTTGAGCATCAACTATACCAAGTGCTTGCCAAAGAATTGATGATTTTGAACTGTGGTGTTGGAGAAGACTCCTGAGAGTCCTTTGGACTGCAAGGAGATCCAACTGGTCCATCCTGAAGGAGATCAGTCCTGGGTGTTCATTGGAAGGACTGATGCTGAAGCTGAAACTCCAATCTTTGTCTACCTCATGCGAAGAGTTAACTCATTGGCAAAGACCCTGATGCTGGGAGGGATTGGGGGCAAGAGGAGAAGGGGACGACAGAGGATGAGATGGCTGGATGGCATCACCAACTCAATGGGCATGAGTTTGAGTAAACTCTGGAGTTGGTGATGAACAGGGAGGCTGGGTGTGCTGCGATTCATGGCGTCGCAAAGAGTCAGACACGACTGAGCAACTGAACTGAACTGAACTGATACGAAGTGCCTTGAATATCAGTCAGTGTCACTCTGAGAATCAATAGCATGCTAAAGAAAGAACACCACTAAATGGTAGATTAGTGAAGACCTACACACTATTTTGCTCTTTGCATTCCAACATCTCAGTTTTAGAGAAGGAGTGAAAAGGAGGTAACTTGAAAGAACTGTGGTTCCCAGCATTCAAGATTATAGGTCAGGTCATCACAGAAGAATGAAAGAAAGATATGAGCTTCAAATGAAGATGGGAATTGAATTGGACTGAGCTTGAAAAACACAAAATGGCTGGCAAGATACAAAATCTGATCAAGGTACTGTTAGGGTGTTGGACAGGGAGGTTCAGTATAGCATGTACAGAAATAGTGATTGAAGAAAAATAAAAACTACTATGCATAATTTATATAATTGAAACTGCTAAAATAGAGGCAGAAAAATGTAATTTGAAATTAACTAAACATATAAAAATGATTTCATCATGTCATACCTCTTCACAGAGAGTTTCAGGTAAAACACCATAAGGAACCAAATATTTATTGAATGCAAAGAAGCTGGGAAATAACATCAAGTAAAAACAAAGAGAGAGAAACTAAGAAACTGTGAGACCAGTAAAGGCTAAGGAGTTATGATGGCTAAATATAACGTTGTGGTCTAGCATGGATCTTTGATTCAAAGCAGAATATTAATGGAAAACTCAGTGGAATCTGAATGAAGAATGGAGTTAGAAAATAGGAATATTCTAATACTCATTCCTTACTTTTGATTAATGTACCTGTTACATTGATGTCAGCAGCATGAGGAAGTGATTGGAGAATAACAAAAATCTCTGTATTATTTTGAAAGTTTTTAATAAACCTTTAATTATTCTAAAGTTCTAAGTTTATTTTTAAAAAGAAAAATTTTAAATGATAAAGAATGAATGCAGACAGTTCACAGGAAAAAACCAGCAGCATAAGGGAAATGAGATGAACTTCATGAATAAAAACATCATGGTAGAATTCAAGTAAAAAAAAGTATAAATTAATTATAATTGCAATAACCAAAATAAAATAGAAATTATTTTAAAATATTGCCCATTTCTGTTTGTCAGCAAACTCACATTTGGGAACAGTTTATAAAACACCTGCCTAGTACTTTTGAAAAGGATCAAGTTCATTAAAAACAAGGAAGGTCTTAGAAAGATGGTAATGATAACCCCATATGCAAAACAGAAAAAGAGACACAGATGTACAGAACAGAATTTTGGACTCTGTGGGAGAAGGCGAGGGTGGGATGTTTCGATAGAACAGCATCGAAACATGTATATTATCTAGGGTGAAACAGATCACCAACCCAGGTTGGATGCATGAGACAGATGCTCGGGCCTGGTGCACTGGGAAGACCGAGGAATCGGGTGGAGAGGGTGGTGGGAGCAGGGATCAGGATGGAGAATACATGTAACTCCATGGCTGATTCATGTCAATGTATGACAAAACCCACTACAATATTGTAAAGTAATTAGCCTTAAAAATAAATGAAAAAAAAAAACAACAAGGAAGGTCTGAGATGAATAGCCTATAGAGACATGTTGATTCAGTGTAAATAGTATTCCTAGATGGGATATTGGAGCACTACACCATACAGTGAGTAAAAAACTAGGAAATGTTAATAATCATAGGCCAGTTAACAATAGTGTATCAATATTGGTTCAATATTGGTTCAATAGTTCTGATAAATTGCCATAGTAATATATATGATCTTAACAATAGTGGGAACTAGGTGTGGGGAATATGGGAACTCTGTACTATCTTTGCAACTTTTCTGCAAATCTAAACTCTTCTAAAATAAAAATTTATTTTTATAGATACTGATTTGTGGTGGAAGAGGCAACACACACACACACACACAAACACACACAGGCATACGTACATACATAGAAACACATTAAACATAGTCATTGAAAAAATCTAGAAAGAAATATGCTAAATTATTAAACTATCTCTGTGAGAGAAAAGTATGAATTATTATTCTTAATGTTTTCTTAGTGATCTGTAGTGACCACAGATTATTGTTATTAAGCTGTTACTAAGTGCAAATATTACAAGGGACTAAATTAAAATGGAATTTAAAAAAGCAAATTTCTGTTAGATCTTTATATGGCCAAGTGGTTGACATTATCAAATAGATTATTCTAAACTAGTGCCCTGAGTGAGAAAAGTAGAGGAGTCAGGAAGGGGAAACAACACATTTGCACAATGATCTGTATCAGGCAAAACAATGTAGATTATATTGCTGCTTAGGAGATTTATCTTAAGTAGTGCAGATTTAGAATGCACTCTCTGAGAGTATTTAGTTGTGCCAGAGAGAACATATTTGATTCAATAGCTGAAGGCAGAAGAACCATGTATATAGTAGGTTTACCTGTAGTACATTCAGAGAGCCAACTTAATATTATGTTCCCAGTCTTCCGATATGTAACTAGGATACCTACGCTTAGCATCTGAGAAATCCCTCACATGATTTACCTGATTGGGAGATTAATAAGAGTCATAATAGGAAGAGCCAAATGAAATTCTCTGAAGTTCCAGGCCCCAGCCAAGAGAGTGAATCAAAAGTAGAAATTGATTGATGCCATCTTTAAAATTTAAAAAGGCAGGAATTGGTACCTCATTGTAGTTTTAGTTGCATTTATCTAATAGTTAGTGATAGTGAACATCTTTTCATGTGCCTGTTGGCCATCTGTGTA